ACATCATGATCTCACAAAGTTTGTAGGTTCGATATCAGGCCTCCCAGCTGACAGCACTGAGCCTGCTTCGGACTTTTCTGGTGGTCTCCTCTCTCTCTGTCCTTGTTCCTCCTGTTCACACTCTCTCTGTCTCTCCAAAATAAATAAATAAATATTTTTAAAATAAATTTGCATATATGTTGGAGGCAAAAAACAAAACAAACATACAGTGAGCTAGTCCCAAAGACCATATATATTGTATGATTTATTCATTTATAAGCGAATGTCCACAATAGGAAAATCTATATAGAGAGAGAAATTATATTTGGTTGTTTATGTTTGTTGGGGCGGGGGAAGGGAAGCTACGGAGGATTGTGGGTAAAAGCTAAGGATAACAGGTTTCTTTCTCGAGTTGATGAAAAAACTAAAATTGTATTGATGCACAGACTGTACTAAAAGCCATACAAGGTCATGAATTATATGGCATGTGAACTATCACAATAAAAGCTGTTTCAAAAGGGTTATCAAAGAGGAATTATGAATGATGACATTTGCTTTTTTTCATCCTGTCACTTGGCTGGACTTGTCACAGTAGATGAGGTGTGATTCTTTATAAAACACTTGTATAGCAGAAAGAAAATTATTTTCTAGTTACAAAATGTCCCTTGGGGACCAAATAGCTTTCCTTAGTAAACGAAAGCCTTCCTACTTACTTTTCTACGGATAATTTGGGATTCAGAAGGAGAAACAAACTAGGTAGCTGCTCTTGTTGGAGAATTTTAAATAAAAGGAAGGAGGAGGGGAAGATACTGTAGGAAGGTGACAGGCTGAAATTTTGGGCAGACTTGACAGAGAGAAAAGAGACGCTGCTGATATTTAGCTTTTATGTTATTCAATACCAGATGTAAACCTCCTTCCTGAGTCAGCAGCAAAACTCTCCTGTTCTTTCTGTGTGGAAGCAGGGGAATGAAGCTTAAAAAGTAGTAATTTGATGGGGAGCCTGAGCCTTGGGTGGCTCAGTGGGTTAAGCTTCTGACTTCAGCCCAAGTCATGGTCTCACAGGTTTATGAGTTCAAGCCCCACATCAGGCTATCTGCTGTCAGTCAGCGAGAGCTTCCACTTTCGATTCCTCGGCTCCTCTCTCTCTGCCCCCTCCACCCCAAAATAAAATAAATAAATAAAACATTAAAAAAAATAAAGGTTGTTGGTTTAGACATGTGGAAGGCCATCTGAATATGGCATATGCCGTTGGGCTGGGCCAAGACCATAGGTTACAAGGACTTCAAAGTTGGGGGCAGAGAAAGTGGAAGAACAGAGGATGAAGTAGAGTCACTATTATCAGGAAAGTCGCAAAAGATTCAGCCACACAGGAATGCTGCAGTGGTCAGAATTTATTGCACAGGAGATTGTGGGGGGAGAAGCACAGCTTTGTAGAGGCTTCGCTGAAATTGGAACCAAGCCCATGATCATTGTGGGAAGCCGACGCCTGGTGATTCTTGGCAGAAGGCACAAGGGGAAATCTCCCAGGAAGACTTAGGCAGCGCGGGCCCACCATGCCCCAGAGATGCTCGCTAACAGCCTCCTCATTTGTCACAAAGTAAATCCCCACTCACTGGATGTTCGTGGAAGAAGATCCAACGCAGAGTTCCTTCAGAGGCGCAATCCAGGTGGTCACATAACCTGCAAAGTAGAGAGCAGAGCTGCTGAGACTTTTTTAAGTGGGAAGTGAAACTTCCAAAAAAGGGAAGGGCAGGAGGTACATGGCTGAACCCCTGGTCCGGTTCATTGGAAGGAATCAAAAAACAGAGGGGGATGTGGGGAGTTGGGAGATGGTCCAAGCAGCAGCTGTCAGAAGAAGTCTGCCTCGAACCTTGGTTTTCTATTTTGTAACACGGGAAGTGTGCTCTCCCCAGAGGTCCACAGGGACCTGCCTTGGGAGGTCATCAGGTATAGACTCCTCAGGAGCAGGAAGAAAGAGGGACATCAGTGCTCGCCTGCTTCCTCGAATGCTCTTGGTCTCCACCACACTGGGAAGTTTTCTGTCAACGGTTCTCAAAGTCTTCTTCTGGTGCTCTCTGAAGTTGGGGAGTAGTTAGGGAAGGAGATCTGTGCTCCCGGCCTCCACCATCGCCCAGGCCCAGGAGCACACACACCCAAAAAAGCTGCTGGAACAAGAAGACAGAGCCCACTGACCCCAAACATGGTCTTGAATGGTCTTCAAACGTATGGACAGGTAACAGGTTATACTACCAAGGCAAGGCTCTCGGCTATTACGTAAAGGAGCTGTAAGCACGCTGAACCCATACACATGGTATCAATTTCAAGGTTGTCCCCTCAAGGACCAGAAGCCTGACTCACTAGCTGTGCCACATAGGCCCGTAGGACTTGGGGGCTTCCAGGACCAGAGGCATTCTCACTTTCTCCCCTCATGGATCAGAGTCTCCTCCTTCTCCTGACTTTCCCAAAGCCAGATGACATGATACAAAGTGAGACCCATGTAGAGGGCGCCAGCACAGCCACCAAGAGTGACCTGGAAGACCCAGAAGCCAGTGGGGGAGAAGGGGTGAAGGCATCGGAGCAGGCGCCTTGTGCCTGGCTGCTGGGGTGTGACACACTAGTTCACTTGCCTGTCGCCAGAGACCCTCGGCCCCGCTTGCTGGACAGCCACAGCAGCACGAGACAGGCTGAACCCCAGGAGCACAGGAGCAGAAGGCGCCCCATTGAGGTGGGGAGAGTGCCGGCTCTCCCTCAGCCACCAGCTGCTCAGGAACCGCCACACATCCCAGCACAGGAGAGCCCAGGGCAATAATGAGTGAAGGTATTCTGAGGAGGCGATGGGCCACTCTTCACTGTGAATCCGCTGACAGAGGCAGTAAAGACTTCGCTACGCTTCCTCCAAGATCTAGCTGGTTTATTACCAAGACTCTGATACTTCGTTTAGGGTAATGGAGTCATCACCGTGGGAAAATATTTAGGGGGTGTGGGTGTGGCTGTCTCTTTCTGCCCCCCACCTGCCTGGCAGTGGAAAGCCAGGATCCATCTTTCTTTCCCTCTCTTCCCTCCTCCTCTCTGTCCCCTTCCAAAGGCTAAACAGCCAGAGAGTCCAGCCCCTCTCTGAAAACTAATACTTGTTTCCCCCATTGATGGCCACTCCAGGCCTGGTGCTACTGTCACTGCTGCCTGAACAGAATCAGTGCCTGAAATTCCCAGAAGGGAACGCATATTCTCTTTGTTGTTTCTCTGCTTTTCTCTTGCAATTATCTTTGGTTGCCTCATAGGCGCAAGGGGTCTGGCTCAGCCTCCCATCACCGCAGCAGCAGTAAGATTGAGATTCAGTTATTTACGGGCCCTCCGTGCGGTCAAGTGAACAGTAGTGGAGGGTTTGCTGCCCACTTCAGTCTGGTGTTCTTTTAGACCTAACCAGCTGCTTGGGAAGAAAAAGGAGAACATTTTAAAAAAGAAACCCAGCAGAATTTACTGATTGAATGTAATGGAGTATAAAGCCAGAGATGACTGGATAAAATTGGAAATTCCTCTGTTTTTGTAATTGTCCCTTGGGCCTTATCTTCCCACACTGTGAGAGGCAGACCATGCTCAGGGACCCGCTTCAGAAAATTTCTCTCACTTCCCCTCTGGAGAGAGAGTAGCACCCTGCTATGTCTTCAAGGTGTGTGCTTTATATATTTTATTGAGGCAGCTCCTCAATGCCCATAGCTGCTGCTTCTCACCGCCTGTGTTTGGTCTAAACTCTGACATGCCTGCATCCCTCATTGAAGGGTCTAGAAGACCTTGCAAAACATTTTACTCTCCACAGGAAGAGAAGATTCTTTTGTTGGGAGCCAAAGCATATTCTGGTTTTGTTCACATGCTGCCCTTCTGTAGGCATCTTAAAAAGAAGCACCTGAAGGGTTTACCCAAGGCCACTGGCCTCCAGACCCATGTCCTGGGTTCCTCCCAGCCGCTTCAAGGACTTGACTAACTGAGCCTTCTCTCCCTAACGGCTTAGGGTCTTCTCCTCAACTCTAGTAATAATAACCTTGAATTTCTAACTTGACATGGCAGGCAGCAAATGAGACATGCCCAATTTTTTCTTTTTGTATCAATCTCCTATTATAAGACCCAGAGGGGTGCTCATTGGCTCACACTGGTTAAGTGACCTTGGTTTCCACTCAGGTCATGATCTCATGTCTCAGAGTGCCTTGGGCCCCAAGATCGCCCTTGCACTGACAGCTGAACCTGCTTAGATACTTTCGCTCTCTCTCTCTCTCTCCTCCTCCTTCCCTCCCTCCCCCCCTCCTCTCTCTCTCTCTGCCCTTCCTCACTTTGTGCTCTCTGTCTCCAGAATGTCAACAAATAGCTTTTAAAAAGCTACATATAATACTAGAAAGATGCACAAAGCAATTTTCAAGGGGGATTCGTACATAACAAACTGGTTGTTGTTTGACCCTTGAACAACGTGGGGGTGTTAGAGCGCTTTGGATCACACAGTCAAAAAACCCCATATAACTTTGCCTCCCCCCACATGTTAACTGGACACTTTAAGCTTATTGTTGGAGTGGAAGCCTTACCAATAACACAGTCAGTTAACACATGCTTGTAGGTTACTAGAAATTATATATGAAGAGAAAATACATTCAGTAGTGGTGCATGCATGGCTGGAAAAAAGAAACCCATAGCTACTTAGTAGGGACTGGGGCAGCTGTGCCATGAATGTGTTGGGCTCCAGGAAGCTGCCTTGAGAGGATCAGTACCTGGCAGGAGTGAGATCCCAAGGCCCACACGCCGCTGCCCTGGCACAGCTCGGCAGACCCAGGTGTTCCCACCTGGACACTCAACAGCACACACTGGACAACCTGCGGCCTGACCAGTACCCGCCTCTTGGGGCTGCCGCGTGGCACGTTGCCTCCCCTATTTGTCAGCAGTCTCGACTGCCCGAAGCCTTCCGTTTGGTCCCATGGAGACAGGGTGCACAATCAAATAAATGCCTTGTGGCCTTTTGCCTGTCAACTCCCTTAAAATCCACTTGAGAGGCACCTGGGCGTGTCTAGCCGTTGCCGCCTGACTTTGGCTCTGGTCATGATTCACGACCATGGGTTCAAGCCCCATATCGGGTTTCCTCTGTTGTCAGCACAGCCTCCCCGGATTCCCTTCTGTCCCCCCTCCTGCCCCTCTCTCTGTCATGCGCCGCTTCTCTTCTTCTCTTCTCTTCCCCCCCCCTTCTCAAAAAGTAAATAAACATTAAAAAAAACTATAATTAGGGAACCCGTCTGGTCCATGGAGTGTGCTGCCACTCTTGATTGCAAGGCTCATGAGTTCTAGCTCCCACATTGGTGCATAGATTGTTAAAAAAAACTACATAGGGGCACCTGAGGGGCTCAGTTGGTTAAGCATCCAACTTGGCTCAGGTCACCATTCATGAAAGTTCATGCAGTGGATGGGAATTTCAGATCAGGCTCTGTACTGACAGCTCAGAGCCTGGAGCCTGCTTCTGATTCTGTGTCTCCTCTCTCTCCCTGGGCTTGTACCACATGCTCTCTCACTCAAAAAATAAAATAAACACACAAATAAAATAAATAAACATTAAAAAAATAATGAAAATAAAAAATTCACATATAAGTGGGACCAGCAGGGCTCAAACCTGTGTTGTTCAAGGTCACCTGTATAGATAAGAACAGGCCATATGCACCAAAGCTGAGGTGGAATGGTCACTTCTGTGCAAAGTCGGAACAGATGGATTGAGATGCTTCCAAGGACCAGCAAAGGGCTTAATTGACTGGTGGAGAACCAATATGTCACCACCCATCAACTGTGAGAGACCATGTTTTGAGTCACTTCAACGCATCAGAATTTGAACCCCTACCTGCCTGGGTTCGGTTCCTATCTTTCTGCCTCCCTGTGAACACTGCAGAAGACTCCGAAGTCTGTCAGGCCACTGAAGCTCCTCCATAAAATTGCTGTTCTTTTAGAAGAAATCTGGCCCTTAGAAAGATGAAATCGGTCTCAATGATTAAAAGATGGCAGATTGAAGATGAGATTACCCCTCTCGAGACTCCTCCAAATGAGAGTAAAATGGATCTTAAGTGTATAAACCCACATCACACATGGAAAGATCACTTAGTACAACTAAAAACCACTTTTGAAAAGCAAGAGGATAGACAAGAAATTAGATTATGGTGCTGGCTTAGCACACTGCAATTCTTCCACTCAGAGAAAGAAGATAAATCCTTGAAAATAATAAAAGGTGATCAGATAGTACCTATATCCTAATTTGAAAATCAAAGACCACAATAAAGCAAAAATCTCCCTTGTCTGTTTATTGGATGAGAAAATACTTAGTGGAAGTGCCTGGGAAAAAAGAGTGCTTTCTCCATAAATGTTTAACCAAGTTTTGTTTGGAGAGATACTGAGTTCCATAGAGGACCAGAAGGAAGGCTTCCAGTGCTGCCCTGGGTTTCTCAGCCTTGGCACCACTGATAACTGGGACCGACTGATCACTGGTTTGGGGCAGGGAAGGCTGCTGGTATGCTGTGAGAGATGTTTGGCGGCATTCCTGCCTTCATCCACTAGAGCTGTGGGGTGGTAGACGCTTCTCCTCCACCTGCCTCTGGCTGAGAACCCCACCACCCGAGAGTTGTCTGTCCATCACCTCCACTCATGGGCTTCAGCCAACAGTTTGTAAAGACATTCGTGTTTTACATCTCAAAGGGTTTTAATTTGCGGGGACGGATACCGCCCATTTCCAAGCTACCCTTGCGCATCCTCCCCTCAACAGTTCACTCCCAGGAGGGAAGCCTGCAGGCCCCCTGGGGTCCTTGCACTTAGGGAGGCACCTGGCGGGGGGGTGGGGTTGCCTCTGGTTGTCCATTGAGAGACCAGAGACTGATTTTGAACCCACAAGTCTGCTCCTTCAGCTCATCTTGTTTCGCAGAGTGGAGGCCCAGCACACTCTGGGCAAACCCAGCATTTGCCATTCCCCAGCAGACCTGAATTTAACCCCAGAGCAGGCTTGGTATACTCCAGCAATGTTGGGAATTTGGAGGAATTGAGAGGCCCCTATAACTGCTCTTTCTCTCCTGCCTGCCTAGACCTGTAGTGTAGCCACAGATACCCAGCAGGCCTCCTTCAGAGGGCTCTAGGAATTGAACTGGGGTCTCCAGAGCTCACCACAGAGCTTTTGGAGATTTTGGGAGAGAGCATGGAAAGTGGAGGATGAAAGCGATTCTGCCTTAAGAACCCTTGGGTTTTGGAGCTCCCCATATAAATTCTGAGACCTTCTGTGTCCTTCACCGTGGCAGCAACTAAAACAACACTGTTCTGGGACTTCCAGCACAAAATCAAGTACTCCATCTCCTAAAGTCTGCAGCATCAAAGGCAATTTCTTATATAAGTGGGGGCTTCCCAAAGCCACATAGGCAGATCTTTTTTCCTCCCTCCCTCCTCCCCCTGCTTTCATGGTCTCCATCTCTTTCTTAGCCATGTCCTCAGCCCTCCAGGTTTACTCTCTCTGAATTCACAGCATCCCACAAAAAGACATCTGCAGCTTCAAAAATGTCAAGAGCACCCTGAATTCCCAAGCCAGAGTCAGACCAGGAGCTGAGAGCTCTCAGCATTGTTTTCAAAGTCAAACTCCAGGAAAGTTCACTCCTTGCTCCCGGGAGTGAGAAATCATTTGCAAATAAATCTTTTGGGAGTGAGTTGGTGAATCTGAGCCCCTGTCAAGATTTTCACTGGTGAAGGTGAGCTCAAGATTTGGGGGGAGGGATGGGGTGCCCACTAGCTAGTGTTGGGTTAAGCATCTAACTTCAGCTCAGGTCATGATCTCTTGGTTCACAAATTCAAGCCCAGCATTGGGCTCAGACTGTTCAGGAGCCTTGAGCCTGCTTTTTGATTCCCAGTGTCTCCTTCTCTCTCTGCCCTCCCCCTGTTTTGCATCCTCTCTCCTCTCAAAAAACAAATGTTATATTTTAAAAAAGATTCATGGGGGAGGGAGTAGAAAGCCCCAGCTGTGAGGGGATTTTTCAAACATGTAAATAGATTTTGTTTAATTTCATCACATTTCTTGAGAATCTTTCAAGATCCTTCATTCATAGGATGCAAAATTCTCTCAAGATTCCATGGGTGGGGCAGAACTGATCTCAGCCAGCAGGCCGCAATGCTTGAGGATGTCCACCGAGGGCAGTTCCTCCTCCTGGGACCCGGGCTTTCTGGGTTCCCTGCCCCAGCCTCCACCCTGGCCCTGGGTTCTAGGATTCTTTTATGAGATCCTGATGCACGGCAGGCACTAGTGGCAGTCTGCCGGAACCTTGTGGGCAGTTAGCAACCTCAAATTGAATTGTAATATCACCCAGCTCACCGGTGTGTGTAAAAGCCTCCCTAGCCCACGCCACGGTTCCTCACCTCCCAACCTGCACCTGCCCCAGCCTCCAGTCACACCCCCCCTCCTTCCCCTGCACTCACCTGGTAGCGCCTAACAGAAACACCAACAACACAAACAGGGAAGAGAGTCTCAGTTTGCAGCCAGCAGGTCCCACTCCCCCCTGTGGCCCCTGCCTCCTGTCAACACCACGCCCTCTCTTCTCCCCTCCTCCTTCTGGCCCTCCCAGCAGCCTGAAGGAGCGCCGGTGTGAGAGAGAGGCAGCTGAGAGCCTGTAGCCCCTGCTATAAAAGCAGGAATGGGGTCTGAGAATAACCTCTGTTGCTGGAGGTGGCGAGGGGTGCCCCTTCTAAGTGAACTGAAACAGGGCTTGGACCCAACCTGACAGGAGGAGCAACGGCCCTTGCAGGCAGCCTGGGGTGGGAGGCGCAGCACCTCAGGCATGTCACCAGACAGAGAATTTCTCGTGTTACATCTCTGTTAAGCCTCCCCACCCTCCTGGGCTGGGGCACCCAAAAAGTGACAAGCTTGGTCTACACAAGAGTGGAGGTGTGTGTGTGTGTGTGTGTGTGGTGGTAAGGCCGCTTATTGGGAGAAATAGCACAGGCTTCCCTCTCACTCCCTCATCCCTCAGCATCCTGGGAGCCTGTGCCTCCAACAGCTCCGGTGAGAACTGGGTGTGCATTGGCCTGCCTATACCCATTCTGTCCCCATGGCTCAAGCTTGGGGATCCTCCAGAGGAAGGAAGGGGTGAGGCTGAGCAGAGCGGGTGGTGGGTGAGAGCCAACTCACCACTGCAGAGTTTTGACCAGCCAACCCCGCACCTCAAGGCGCGAGCTGGAGAAACCCCGGGTTCCAGATACTGCCCCTGTGTGCATGAAGATATCATTCCACTGCCTTCAGTACGTTGCATTGTCAGGAGACAGAGGTCCAGCTTGGATAGTCTTCTTTTCGGGAAGCTTGTTGCCATTATTTTGACCTTCTGATGAAGGATTTTATTTTTTTTATGATCCTTGGGAAGCCCGTCTACTCTTTGGCCATGGTAGGGATTCCAATGCTACAAGCGGCATGAGATGTTTTGGGCAAAATTGCCTCTCTCTGGCATTTAAACACCAAGATTCGATTCATTAAAATAAAACCCCAATGCAGCCATATGTCCACATCCATCTCATCTGCCGGCTCCTGCCCATCACTTGCCTTTTCTTTTTTTTTGATTTTCTTCTTCGTGTGCAGAGCTCAGGGTTAGACCTTGCTTGAGTCCCTCTCTAGGCTTTCTGGAGGAGACAAGGCTGCACCCCCTCACCTTGCCCTGAGAGCATTAATAATACACAGCATATCTCTTTCCTTCCAAGAAATCCTCTCTCCCCCTCTACTTAACAACTCTGCCACACAATTGTATGGCCACTGATGTGGAAGCTTTAAGAATGACGATATGCCTGTGTAAGGCACCCTGTGGTTTGGAAGCCTCAAGCTGGGATCGCCCCAGGCTTGGCTCACAAGCCAGGGTCAAGATCTTACAGTTTGTGAGCTTGAGCCCGGCGCTAAGCTCTTCAGGCTTAGGAAGCCTGGAGCCTGAACCCAGTTTCGGATTCTGTGTGCTCTCTCTCAAAAGTAAATAAACATTTTCAAGTAAAAAAATTTTAAAGAATGATATGCCCGTTATTTACATTGATTTTGCACTTTTTTTTCTTTTTAAAGTATTTATCCTCAGATTTAGCAAATCACTTTTAGAATGTCCTATGTATAAAGAGAGTTTTTCAAAACATGATATCTTTAAAACTAGTCAGATTTTCCTGATTTAATATCCTACACTAGCGCTTATTCCACTTTTCTATCATGGTTTAAATATTCTAAGTGCTAGAGGATCATTACTAACTTGTTACATCCCCCATAGCAAGCAACCCCTGTGATGTAAGGTGCCCATATTATCATCCCTCTGTTAGAGGAGAGGTGAAGAATACATGTTGAGTAATTGACTGGAAGTACCAGCTAGTGAGTGGAGGTGCTGGGATTTGGACTGCCATCACAAGGCAGGTGGCGGACCCTTAAATGCCGCTTTAAACAACATGGCTAGCTTCCCGTTATTCAGATTGCTGCCTTTAAAGAACTTTTTTTGATTGTGTAAAGTCCCATTGTACTTCATACATACACCACTACAAGAAAATAAAAATCTCTGCTTACATGTTACACTTCTTGGGCTCTGATCAACTCTTACTATCCACCCCTGACCAAAATCCCTGGGTGTCCTCGTGACAACCTTCCCATCTCAAATTTTCCCCCTGCCGACCAGTGGTGGCACAGATTCCCTTTGAACTAAGATGGTGTTTTTAGTTCAAGAGGAATGGAATCACCCCTCATGGCCCTGCTCCTAGATGTAAACTCCACTCTAATCCATTCTGCATTGCAAACAGAATGTTTAAATTCCAATTTTGCTTAGATTTAACAAAAAAACATGTTTCACTGTTTTTGGCTCAGTGTTGCTTTTTGGACCTTACATACCTTCCTTCTGTGTTAAATTTTCTTTTTTTTTTAACTTCTAATCATTTTAAGTGCGCAGTTTAGTGTGTTATGTACTCATGTTGTTGTGTGCAGCACACCTCCAGAATTCTTTTCATCTTGTAAACTGAAACCCTCATACCCATTTATCCCTCCCTTCAGCCCCCCTGGTGACCTTTCTGTTACCATCGAATTGGATCACTCCATTGATTCACTGGATCAGCACAGCATTTGTCTTTTTTTTCTTTAATTATTTATCCTGAGGCATGCCTTGGGTGTATGAAGCCTGGCATGTCTCACTTCAGCCAGGGTCACCATCTGCCATCCCAGTTTGAGCCCCTGCCAGGCTCTGGGCCATGCTTGATGGGTTCGAGCCTGGAGCCTGCTTCCTACTTGTGTTCTCTCTCTCTGCCCCCCTCCCATCTTTTGACAAGGCTTGTCTTCTGTCCCAAAAATAAATAAACGTTGAAAAAAAAATTATTTATCCTGAGAAAGAGAGAGAGAGAGAGAGAGAGAGAATCCCAAGCAGGTACCACACTGAGAGTGCAAAGCCCAGTGTGGGGCACAAACCCATGAACTGCAAGATCATGACCTGAGCCAAAATCAAGAGTCAGATGCTTAACCAACTGAGCCACCCAGAGGCCCCACGGCATTTGTCTTTTTGTGATTGGCTTAGCTTAATGTCTTCAGCGTTCATCCATATTATAGTTATCTATCAGAAATGTATTCCTCTTTAAGGGCAAATAATATTCCTTGTGTGTATATATGTATATACCAAATTTTGTTCATTCATTCATCCACTGATGGACATTTGGATTGCTTCCACCACTTGGCAATCATGAATGGTGCTGTTGTGAACACAGTGTGCCAAATTTTCTTCTTCTTAAAACACAACCTTCAGTAGTTTTTCTACTGGGGAACTGTTGGGGGTAAACTCTTTTGATCCTCTTTGGTCTCAAAGTGCTTTCATTTTATCCTCAATCTTGAATTGTTATTTAGTTGGCTAGAGAATTCTTGGTTGATGATTATTTTCTTTCAGAACTTTAAAGGTATTATTTAATTGCCTTCTACTATCTAGTGGGTTTATAAGTCTTTTATGTAAAATGCCTATAGTAGATCACATAATGCCACCTGAGGTATCCACGTCGTCATCCTCAGAAGCTTGAATGTTGCCTTATATCAGAAATGGGACTTTGCAGGGGCACCTGGGTGGCTTAGTCGGTTAAGCGTCTGACTTCGGCCCAGGTCATGATCTTGTGCTTCGTGGGTTCGAGCCCTGCGTCGGGCTCTGTGCTGACAGCTTGGAGCCTGGAGCCTGCTTCGGATTCTGTGTCTCTCTCTCACTCTCTGCCCCTCCCCTGCTTGCACTCTGTCTTGCTGTCTCCCCAAAATAAATAAATATTTTTTAAAAATTTAGAAATGGGACTTTGCAGATGTGATCAAGTTGAGGATCTTGAGATGGGGACACACATGGTCTTAGTGGGCCTGATGACATCACAGGGTTCCTTATAAGGAGAGAGGAGGTCAAAGGGTACGATAAGAGATGCGATGACTGAGGCAAGACTCTGGAGCCATATGTGGAAGAGGCCACGAGCCAAAGAACACAAATGGCTGGGAAAGGCAAGGAAATTGATTGTCCCTGAAGTTTTCGCAAGGAATACAGCCAAAACCTTGATTTTAGACTTCTGTGTTGTTGGGTTTTTTAAATTTTTTTTAATGTTTATTTATTTTTGACAGAGAGAGACAGAGCATGAGCTGGGGAGGGGCAGAGCAAGAGGGAGACACAGAATCCGAAGCAGGCTCCAGGCTCTGAGCGGTCAGCACAGAGCTCCACATGGGGCTCCAACTCATGAACCACAAGATCGTGACCTGAGCTAGAGTCGAACGCTCAACCACCTGAGCCACCCGGGCACTCCTATATGTGTTGTTTTAAGCCGCTAATTCTATGGCAACTTGTTACAGCAGCAATTGGAAAAAAGTACAATGCCTGTTCTTGACTTCTGCCCAAATTTTTATTGGGTTGTTTTCCTTAGAGATTTGTAGGAGGCTTTTGTATTTTGAATGTGTTATTTTTTGGTCAGTTACGTATTTTGCAAATATCTTCTCCCAGTTAGTGATTTCCTTTTTCACTCTTGTCACGGAGGCTTTCGATAACAGATTTCTTCACACAGTCAAATCTTCCCATTCTTTTTATCAATAGTGTGTACTTTTTGTCTGAAGATATTCTTCCCTATCCAGATACGATACTTTTGATTTGTAGAATTTTTGTCATGCAGCGTAAAGTATTTTTTAATTTTCCATCATTATTTCTTCTCAACTGCATGGATGGAATGTTTCAAAGTATGTTTTTAAATTTTTAAATGTATGGGAATTCTCTGATAATCTTCTTGATGTTAATTGCATCGTGGTCTGAAAGAACATAATTTCTGTAGTACCAGCCCTTTAATTTTCTTGAGACTTACTCTGTGACTTAACATGTGCTCAGTTTTCTTTAATACTCTATATATATGCTTAAAAATATTGTTTTCCTCTGATTACTGAGTACAGTGTCCCCTATAAGATCACTAGATTAGTGTTGTATTTTGTTCTGTGTCTATACTACCCAATATGGTAACCATAAGCCACATGGGGCTGTTGAGCATCTGAAATATAGCTGGGACAACTGAAGGAATGGAATTTTTAAGTTTTGCTTATTTAAGTGATCTCTGCACCCAAAGTGGGGCTTGAACTCATGACCCCAAGATCAAGAGTCAGATGCTCTACCAACTTAGGGCCCCTGAAGAAATGGATTTTCATTTTATTTTTTAAATTACCTTTTTAAAATGTTTATTTATTTTGAGAGAGAGAGAAAGCAGGGGAGGGCAGAGAGAGAATGAGAGAGAATCCCAAGCAGGCTCCATGCCATCAGCACAGAGCCTGATGGAGAGCTTGAACCCATGAACCACGAG